AAGATATTATCGGTAAATGTGAATGGACTGAACAGCCCACAAAAAAGAAAAAGGACATTCCATCAAATAAATAAATTTAAAACAGATATATCTTGTTTACAAGAGACTCACATAAAGAAAGAAAATGATAAATATCTAATTTGAAAAAAATAGGAAAGGTATTCTCTTCATGTGATGTAAAAAAGAAAAAAGGAGTGTTATATATGCCAAAGAACATTTATTCCCAGAATTAGCGTAAGCATCAAATGACAGAAGAATTGTAGCAATTACATTTGTGAGACAAAATAAAAAGATCCTAATTGCGAATATTTATGCTCCCAACCAAAACCAAGATATCTTCATCAAATCTTTCCGAGAAATGCTAGCAAACCCTAACATTTGATGAAATTTGCATTGTGGGTGATGACCCGGAGATAGAAAGAAACAGTGTAAAAGTAAGAGATTTGGAAATACCTAAAACTTTCTTTGAATTAGTCGAAGAACAAAACATAATAGATGCATGGGGAGTGAGAAATTTTAATAAGACTTTACATATTATTCAGCCAGACATAAGTCATGGTCCCGGTTAGACATGGCGTGGATTTCAACAACCATGGTTAATGACATAATAGAAATGGAGATACTACCCAACACATTCACAGATCATAGCCCAACATTACTAACATTATGAGGATTATATAAAAAGAGACGATGGTCTATGAATCAAAATCTATTACAAGATGAACTATTTGTAAAAAAACCAAAATAGAAATTCAAGAATTCTTCAAAACTCACACACAACCAGAAACTTCAATGGACATAGTATGGGACACATTTAAAGCTTCTATAAGAGGATGGCTTATTAATCAAGAAGCCTGGAAGAAAAAACAAAAGAAAACTCAATGTATCAGTTTGGAAAAACAAATCAAGAAGGAAGAAGATAAAATGAAGAAAGATAATAACTCAGCAGAAACAAAGTTAAAATTAAAACTATTACAACATCAATTAAACCTAATCCTGACACAAGAAATCACAAAAAATATAGAATACACCAAGCCGTTTTATTTTGAAAATGCAAATAAACCCTCCCGCTGGCTGGCTTACAAGCTAAGAAAGAGAAAAGAAGATAATTAAAGTACTAATAAATGAAAAAGAAGAAGAACAATTTAATTTTCAAGACATATAAAGTATAATAGAAATTTTTTACAAAAAATTATACGAACAAGACACACAAAATATACAGGATATAAAAGACTTTCTCCACAAATGGAATATAAAGAAATTTGATGAAAAGCAAAAAATGATTTTAAATGATAAAATTACAATGTGTGAGATAACAGAAGCTATAAAGGAGAAAAATAAAAATAAAACCCCAGGCCCAGATGGAATACCTGCCAAACTATATCAAACTTTTGAAGATCAAATAGTACCCTTAAAAGAAGTATTACAAAATATAACAGAAACACAGAAACTTCCAGATACGTGGAACCAAGCATTAATAACATCAATCCATAAACTAAACTCAGATGAAAAAGAAATAAAAAATTATATACCCATATCGCTATTAAATGTGGATTGCAAGATATTTGCAACAATCATAGCCACTAGAATGAAAAAAGTATTGGTACAAATTATCCACCAAGATCAGGCAGGATTTCTTCCAAAAAGACAAATTAAGAATAACATCTGAAATATCCTTAACATATTGGAATATTACGAACTACACCCAGAAAAGCAAATGGCGTTAGTATTTCTTGACGCAGAAAAAGCTTTTGATAATGTGAGCTGGAATTTCTTATTACAAAAACTAGCAGTATGGGATTGCGGCTCAAAAGTCTACTCAAATATCAAAGTAATTTATACGGAACAATGGGGCGAGGTAATAGTTAATGGAGACATGACCCAAAACATTAAAATACAAAAAGGTACAAGACAAGGCTGCCCGTTATCACCTTTGCTATTTATATTTACATTAGAAACGCTAAATGATTTAGTTCGCGATAATGAACAGATTAAAGATAAAAGATGAAGAATATAAATTACAGGCGTTCGCAGATGACCTGATATTTATCCTAGAAGAACCAATTACCTCAATATCTCACCTGATAGAAACAATACAAACATATGGGCAAGTGGCAGGTTTAAAAATCAACTATAAAAAAACAATATTATAACCAAAAACTGCACACAAAATGAAAGGGAACAAATACAAAGAAATTCCACGATGAAAATAGTAAAAAAAGTGAAATATCTATCATAATATCTAATAGAAATAATATGCTAATGGAAGATAATTATGAAAAGCTGTTGAAGGATATAAAAAAAGACTTTCAGATATTGAAAGATTTGAATCTGTCATTCATGGGGAGAATTGCTACATTAAAGATTAATGTTCTACCCAGATTTTTATTTTTAGCACAAAATTTACCAATTTTGAGAAACAAAAATTTCCTTAAAGACTTGGATAAAATATGTAAACAATTTGTATGGAAAAATAAAACAGCACGAATTCAGTGGAAAATACTTCAAGATAAAAAAGAAAGAGGAGGTATGGGAATATCAAATTGGAATCTATATTACAAAGTAACAGCTATGAGTTGGATTAAAGAATGGCTGACTTTAGAAAATAGAAGACTGCTAAATCTGGAAGGCCATAATTTAGTAATGGGATGGCACACGTACATTTGGTATGAAAAAGATAGAATACATAATAGCTTTCAACAACATACGCTACATGGAGCTTTAATAAAAGTCTGGAAGGAAATAAAAGAGCGGTATTGCGATAAAATACCCAAATGGATATCACCGATTGAAGCATTTATAAAACCTACATTACTTACAAAAGACAAAATAGGAAAATATGAAACTTTATTAGATATAAACAACATTTTGAAAACTCAGGAGGAATTATGCATACAAAACATAAAATTGACCTGGTGGGAAAATACTCAACTAATTACCAGATACAATAAAGTCAAAAAGATTGGCTTCCAAGATACAAAAACAGATCTAGATAAAATTTGGTTGTCCTCAAGTGATAAGATGATACAGAAACTATACAAATTTCTCCTTTACGAATATTTACAAGATGAAGTAGTGAAGACTCCAATGATATCCTAGATGTAAGACTTTGGTCATAATATTGATATAGATTGGTCAAAAACATGGAAAACCCTAAAATTTACTCGAGCAACCTCTTATAAAGAAAACATATATAAAATGTTTTACAGGTGGCATTGGTCACCAGATAAATGAACTAAATGCTATACAAACACCTCCCAAAACTGTTGGAAATGTAAACATAGTATAGGTACTTACTATCATATGTGGTGGAGATGTAATATAACCAAATTATTGGTGTAAAGTACACAAATTAATAAAAGAAATCATGGATATAGACTTACCATATGTACCAGAAATTTTCCTTTTAAATATATTACCAGATGAATGTAAAAAAACAGATCACTATGTTATAACGTATATGTTAACTTCAGCTCATATTGTGTTTGCCAAATACTGGAAACTAGAGAAAATACCTTCAAAGGAAGAACTAATTCATAGGTTGTTGGATATAGCAGAGATGGATAAATTGTCATTAATTTTACAAGGAAAAGATGACGATTTGTTTAGAGATAGTACAGATTTTATACCTGGTTAGAAAACAAGCATTGTAATAGACTCACAGCATTGTAATTAAGTTTATGTAACTGATATATTTATCAGTGATGATGTGAAAACTTTAAATAAAATTCCAAAAGTGGATTATTTAGTGTGCGAGATCGCAGCCTTAAATCGGGAAAAACAGAATCTTCCAGTTCTTCCTTTCAGACTCCATCAGGAGGCAGATGGCTTCTTCTCCAAGCACTAGGTGGATCCAGCCAAAATTTCTACCAGTTATCCCTTCCTGCTGCAAAACCCCCTTCATGTCATTCTTCAAGCCCCCCCCCCCATTCCCCCAAAGCAGCATTTTGTGGTGATCACTAGGAAGGGGGAGGCAGGACAGTTCCATTCTGCCATTGGGAAGAAAATTGTTTTGATCCAACCCATTATTAACAGAATAATCATGCCACACCCTCTTTACCATTCCTCAACACATTTTATGCTCAGCATGAAAAAAAAAATAATTTCTGAGGTCTGTTCCTATCCATCACAGACTGGCATAGGATTAACAAGTTTTTCGTGAAACTGATTATTAGCTACTGTTAATTAAAGAGTAGAAGCAGCTTTGCCATGTGCAGATTTACTAGGCAGATCCTCCTGTATTCAAAACTTCTGCAGGTACAACTCATGCGAGGAATTTCCCAAAGAGATGACCCATTTGAGAAATCTCAACCCTTGAGCACTTTCCCATCTCAAGACATCCACACTTTCAATTCCATGACCTCAAAGTTTATCTCCAGCTGCAGGAGGAAATGCAAAAACGGCACCCATTCACATTGCGGCAGAACTCTCTCTCCAAGTCCTGGGGGGTTTAGAACTGGCACTGGTCCAGCAGCAGGAAAAGGTGTTGCTCACCCCTACCCTGTGCCATGTGCTAGTCACCGGATAAGTAGGGAAGCAAAGAGAGGCTCTGATTTGCTAACATATATGGGCCACAGTGGCTCAGAGGTTAAGACGCTGAGCTGCAGACCAGAAGGTCTGTAGCTCAGCAGTTTGAAATCCTAGTGCTGCGTGACAGAGTGAGCTCCCATCTCTGGCCCCAGCTCCTGCCAACCTTGCAGTCCAAAAGCAAGAAATTGCAAGTAGATAAATAGGTACCACTTCGGTGGGAAGGTAACGGTGCCTCAATGTTTAGTCATGCTCGCCAGATGACCACGGAAACATCTTTGGACAACGCTGGCTCTTCGGCTTGGAAACGGAGATGAGCACCGCCCCCTAGAGTCGGATCTGACTAGCTTTTGAGCAAGGGAAACCTTTACTTTTTACCATGGGTGTCTCTACAGTCTACAAAACCACCAAGGTACATTCTCACTGAAATGCTGCACAGAAGAGCAGACTAGATTAAGTAACTCAGAGTCGGCCTTCCGATATTTTTTATTCAAAAATAAAGTTACAGTAGGTGCTGTGGGGTGGGGAACCCCATATAACCACTGAACTTGTTCCATGCTTGTGGCACTTGCAGTTCAGCTACTATGGTCATGATAACGCATTGTGGCCCCGCTATGGGCAACATAAACACCAATGAGATCCAGGCACTCTCTTACACAACTGTACAGTGTTTCTCTGAAGGGATTTCCCCTCTATTATTTATAGAAGGTTGACTCCACTATGGGGATAGATATTAAGTCCTTTCCACTGTTGCTGAAATGCCTCTCCCCATCACTGAGAGGAAGACACGGACAACGTGAGTCTTGTCAGGGCTTAGGAAATCCCCCGGGTCATGTCCTGGCCACTTCCTGTGTTGTGTCCTGCGGCTCCTTCAGGGTTTTGTCAGCGACACGCCGGAAGACGGCAGGGAAGGTCTTGCCTCCGTTCCTCTGAACCTTCTTCCCTTCTTCAGTTGAGGTTCCCAAGAGATCAACGACAGGGTCACTTGCCTGTTGGAGAAAGAGAGGCAAGTGTTATTAGGTCACAATGTAAACCGATGGAACCCAGTCATCACCAGTGTTCCCTCTAAGCTGAGTTAGTGTGAGCTAGCTCACAGTTTCTTAGCCTCCAGCTCACACATTTTTGTCTTAGCTCAGGAAGAATGGCTCCAGAGCAAACTAATGTATGCAGTAGCCAAGTGGCTTGCTCACAACTTGAATGCCAACAGCTCACAAGGTAGAATTTTTGCTCACAAGACTCCACAGCTTAGAGGGAACATCACCCCTCCTTGTACTCTCAAGTGTCAGGTAACGGACTCTCAGCAGCCAATCGCTTGCCAATAAAATTAGGTTCCTCCCAATCGGAAGGAGAAGTCTAAGCACAAGAGCCATAAGCTTGAGGGGTGACCCCAATGAAATCAGCCCCCAAACTGAAGGCTCTACCACCACCCTCCTATGGCCTACACCAAGCTCATGGGAAACATCCTGGGAGGCAGAGAGCAGATTCCATACTAACGGGGGGGAATGGCCCAAATTGGTAAATTAACAGTGTTCCTTTAAGAATCTGTTGCTCCCTGAATCAGATGGCGATAACCAAGTACATCAAGGGAGTGAGGGAAAGGTCATCATGGAGCCCCCATCTGATTTTGCTGATGTTTACTAACTGAACCATAGTTTCAGGAGGGGAACCAATAACCATATTGATCTGCAGCAAAAGAGCTAGATTCGAGTCCAGTAGCACTTTGGTGTAGTGGTTAAGAGCGGCGGACTCTAATCTGGAGAACCAGGTTTGATTCCCCACTCCTCCCCATGCGGCCAGCTGGTGTGACCTTGGGTCAGTCACTGTTCTCTCAAGAGCAGTTCTCTCAGAGCTCTCTCAGCCCCACCTACCTCACAGGGTATTGTGCAGAGAGGAAGGGAAGGAGATTGTAAGCCGCTCTGAGACTCCGAGTGAAGGGTGGGGTATAAATCCAACTCTTCTTCTTTAGAGACTGACAAGATTTCTGGGGTAAAATGTTTTGAGAGTCAGCTCCCTTCATGAGATACAAATCAGAATGGATCTTAAATCCCACTTAGAAGGCAGGAGGGATGCTGCAAAGAAGGGACTCAGGATCCGTGCACTGCTTTGACTTATTTCAAGTTAAGGTAGAGATTAACAGGGATTTGCTTATTTCTGGAATATTGGGAAACAAAAAAGTGGAAAGAAATAAACGGGAGTTATATAAAATTATGGTTTTAGCTGGGATGGCTGTAATAGCATTGGGATGGAGGGATAGGCATCAGTGGACAATGGAGAAATGGAATAATTATGTCTTTGAACACGTACTAACAGATATATTCACACAGATAATTACTGAAGAGACATGGGAGGAGAAATGTCAGAAGATTACAAATAAATGGGTGGGATATAAGGAATGGGTGGAAAGGGGGGAAGCCAATCCAAATATCCAAATACGAATGAAGAATCTGTGCACATGGTTAAAAATATGAAGATACTACAAGGAGGGAGGGGGGGTAAAATGACGGAATAATGATTTAATGTAAGATAATGTATATAAGCTTCAATAATAAATTAAAAAACATTTCCCAAAAAAAAAAAAGGATCCGTGCACTGCATCTTTGCATCCTGAGTCTCTTCTCTGCAGCAACCCTCCCACCTTTTGACTTGGATATAAGGACTCCGAGATCTCGATTCCAACTTGTATCTGATGAAGGGAGCCCATATCCCAAAGATCTCCTTGGTCTCTGAGCTGCTACTGGACTTGAATTTTTACTAAGCCTTAAAAAAACCTGCAAGACTATTACTACTACATTATAGCAGTAATGGGACTTCCCTTCAGACAACTCCCCGGTACAGGTCTTGATTTCAAGAACCCTTCCCGCACCGAAACATCCAAGCAATTTTCTCGTGAGTGGGCAAAGGGCTCTTTAACACTCATTTGATCCCGTGTGAACAACAAAACAGGTTTAGGCAGAGTTCTCATTTCATGGTCCGCCGCTGCCTGCTCCCATTCACCCAATTTCTTGGTTTGCACAGGGAAATCATTAGCTGAGGTGCATAAAGGAAGAACTCCAGCAGAGCCTGTGTTGAGGTGCATACCAGGGAAGGGGTGGAAAGAGAGCCCTTTGCCTTCCTGTGGGTGGCTGATGCACACAATAAGGAGAGGGCCCTGCCCTGCTAAAATTTCAGTTGCTGATTACGGTGGATGAATTTTATATATGGGAAAGACTTGGTATAGTGCCCCTGCCGAAAAATAAGAAAAAAAACACAGGAACAGTACCACGAAGCCTTTTGCTTTTCAGCTGACTAGCCACTAACTGCTGATTACGGTGGATGAATTTTATATATGAGAGAGACTTGGTATAGTGCCTCTGCCAAAAAATAAGAAAAAAAACCACAGGAACAGTACCACAAAGCCTTTTGCTTTTCAGCCGACTAGCCACTAACCGGAGCCTGAAGAACTCTAAGCAGTTTCCTCTCTGACCTCTTTAGCTTTTCCATTCCTGCATGTCTACTGCAAGTCCACCAAAGACTATGTTCCTTCCCCTGACATTTTAAACTTTGGGGCAGGCTTGAAAAGAACTATGAGCTTGGTCACCTGGAGTGAGCAAGAATTTCCCGCAGGTAGCCAAATCAAAGGAGATTTGCAGAAATTGTTTTTCCTTTTATGCCACAAGATGATTAACACTTGCATGTGAAGATGGGAACTAGGAAATAATGTTATGGGCTTTCCATGGACTTTTACTTGCAAGGAGAGTTTAGGTGTGTATTTAAATGTGTGTGCTGCCCACCTATCTTGTGCCTTTAGGTAAACAAAGTATGCCTGAATGAACATGATCTGGCACATCTGCACTTATTCTTCATCAAAGAACAAACCCTCCCCCCATTTGACTGTGCCAAGGTGTACTTACTAAGCTGCCAAAACCCGAGACCACGACGGCATTACAATATTGTGGGATTCCCATCTTTAGAGAACAGCACTAGGGTTAGAATATCTCACACCAGGATCAGAGAGACCCAGACTGAAATCTCCACTCTGCCACGAAGCTTACAGGGTGGCCTTGGGCCAGTCACCATCTCTCACCTTAACCTACCTTGCAAGGTTGTTGTGAAGATAATAAGAAGAGGAACCATTAGAGGGTGGAGTAAAAATGAAACTAGTTATTTTATGTATAAAATGACTGATATACTATATATAATGGATATATATAGTAAGGAAGGATTTAGCCCAATCTTATTTGCAAGGTATGTGGAGCTGCATACACGTTTTTGGAACAATAAGTATATTAATCTGTTTGAATGATGTATTTTAATGACCATAATGAACAGGGTTTTTTACTATACTGATTGTTGTTAAATGCTCTGGGTATTAATTGTGTCAGGAGAAATAAACAGAATTACCTATGTTGACGTCCACCTAAACATGATATATAATGTTCACTGTTATTGTTCTCTTGCAGGGATATTTCAATTATTGACAAAATGCCTAATACTGTGATTATTAAAACATTTATACCCTGCTTTTCCCCAAAGCCTCCTTTTTTCTTTTGTGTCTGTATACTTCTTTAGCGTAATCACTTTTTTTGGGGTGCTTTTTAAAAGTTTTACACCAAGAGGTCATTGCTGTAACTTGCTCACAAATGGCCTCTACAAGCTGTAGCAGGAATCTGGAACTTCAGAGAACAAGCGGCATCTGTAGGATGCATTTTCACACACACTGTGTTCTACGAACCATGTACAGAACTGTAAAATGTGATGTTGAACATTTCAAAGTCTTTCTCTCTTACCAGTTCTTCTAAGGGTACTTGCTCAAAGAGTGGATGCTCTTGGAAATGCTTTACCATCCATTTGTGTACTTCTTCCACATCTGTGATGGTGTACACCAGACCCTGTGTGAGCAACAAAGAGATCGTAAAGGGAAGAGTGGCAAACATGCAAGGACCCCTGAGGGGTCAGACATCAGGTTGACACAGAGGCAGTAACTGGGGGGACGGGACAAAAAGCAATTCACTCTAAAGGGAAAGAATAGAGGAGAAGTCCATCAGTGGCTACCAGCCATGGTGACTGAAGGGAGCCTTTGTCTACAGGGGCAGAAAAACATCTGAATCTCAGTGCTAGGAAGCAGCAGCAGGGGATGGCCTTGGCCTCTGTGCCCTGTTTCTTTGGCTGTCTAAGGTGACTAATTGGCTGCTGTGTGAAACAGTATTCTGGACTGGATGGACCACTGGTCTGATCCAGGAAGCTCTTCTTATGTTCTTAATGATCTAACAGAAACCTCCCATTTAAGTTCTTATGTTCTTAATGATCTAACAGAAACTTCCCGCTTGAGGAAGAGTAGATTTTTATACCGCACTTTTCTCTAACTTAAGGGGTATCAAAGCGGCTTACAATCACCTTCTCCTCCCTCTCCCCACAACAGGCACCTTGTGAGGCAGGTAGGGCTGAGAGAGCTCTGAGAGAACTGCTCTTGAGAGAACAGCTCTGAGAGAACTGTGACTGGCTCAAGATCACCCAGAAGGCTTCAGGTGGAGGAGTGGGGAATCAACCCAGTTCTCCAGTTAAGAGTCTGCTGCTCTTAACCACTACACCATGCTGACTCGGTAGGAAGGTGGATCTCAGACCCATTTTCAAAAATGAGTTGTTCCTGACTTAATAAGGCCCTAAATTCCTCGCAGCCCAAGGCTCAGCTATTACAACCTCCATGGTGGTTCATACAGCTGCTGCTGTAGGTTGCCGCTGCCACTGTCACTTACAGGAAACACCTCAGAGTGATAGTAGAAGCTGCGCCCAGCCTCTTCCTCTGAAGGTAGCGCCTTTGGGGAGATGTTGACAGCGCTGTCTGTGACTCACCCCAGCTCTGGGCGAGACCCCATGCTGATTCACCAAGATTAAATCTGCAGGTTCCAAGCCCAAAAGTGACAACGCAAGGAAAGAAAAGGCGCTCTCTTATTTCTTTGGCAGCGGAACACTAAGGCAGCCAGAAAGCCCTAAAGGAGGCTGCTGAAAGCCAGCGAGTGATGCAACATTTTGCCTACTAGGACTCCCGCCAACCCCTGGCTCGCTCAGCTGGATGCAGGGAAGTGTTAATCTTTGGCCCTCTGGCACTAATTAGTGCCCTGCCCTTGTTCTTGGGATCTGAGATTCCCGAAGGATGAAAAGGTGCCTTTTCCTCTAGATTTTGGGATGTGTTGATACACGTAGGCTTTGAAAAGAGATTGGTTACCCATATGGTTTGACAGCAACATAAAGAATCGGTTATAAGCTATTGGCAGGAAATGAGCAGGCACAGACACCTTGGCATAGTGGGAGGTCTGACATCCCTCACTGAAGCATCCTCTTCTGTTGAAATTCCCAAAGACTTCCCAGACAGGCTTCCTTCAAGAAACCTGCGACAGAACCCAGTCTGCCAACACAGTCTCCTGGACTGAACCTCTAGGCCAGAGGGATCACATTTTTCAAGGAACCTTTTCCACATCAGCTCAGCAGTCGAGGGCTTGAACAGATTGGCTGAGAACGGGGATGGTGTCCGTGTAAACATGCACTGAGAGGGTCATAGGGTGGCCTGACCTCTCTGCTGCAGGACGGCCAGAAACGAAGAGCATCTTCTTACGGAAGCGACAAAGAGAACAGGCGGCAGTGATGCTTCACAGAAAAATTCCAGAGACAGCAGTAGTGTGAGATGGTAAAGGGGAGGAATGATGATAATCCTGTGGGCTTGCAGGCAGCAAGCCAGCAGCGGCGGAAGTCCATCTAGGCTGACTCTTTTCCCCCTCTTCCTGCAGGTATATAGCCTGGATGGGCTTAGAGGTGCAAGCCGGAGGACAAGAGCCTCATGGCTCTTAGCCTAGGACCTGCAAAAGTCAACTTTACAGACAGAGGGCAACCCAGATATACCTCTGTTTTCTTTGTCTACCCATTTGTTTTCGTCATTTGGAACTTTCCCTCTTTCTTGTAAACTGCTTTGGGGTCCTTTAAATAAATAAATATATCTTTTCATGAGGACCCACCAAAATGTCACAAAACAGTAAACAACCTTTCAAATGCTGCAGAACTCTTCATCAGGTTGGATGATCAGGGTTTTGGTGGGTTTTTTTTTGGGGGGGGGGTTGTTTTTAAGAAAACCAACTGAAAAGGGAGTGGGGAGAAGGCCAAAAGGATATTTCAGGGCATAATGGGAAAGCTCCTAGAGTTCACGGTCTTAAACGATGCGTGAGCTCATTCATTTTAAGATTCTACGAAGTGCAGACAAGGGGCTTTTCCATCATGCTCACTCACATCTTTTTTCTCACTCCCCCCCCCCCTTCTGTTTTCTGCATTGAACAACCAGTTTGATGACATGGTGTTACTTGTGTTTCCACTGATGACAAGTTCTAGCAAATCCAAAAGCTTGTGTACCATTTTGTGATATTCTGGTTGGTCCTGACAAAAAGGGTATCATATTACTGTTGCTTTAGGAAGTGAGGAGCACACCATTTCCCCTCAGCCTCCAATTCCCTCCAAAGACGTACCTATATAACCACTGTGGTGTAGTGGTTATACTTTTGGACTAGGATCTGGGAGACCTGGATGTGAATCCCCACTCTGCCATGGAAGCTCGCTGGGTGACCTTGGGCCAGTCACACACTCTCAGCCTCATCCACCCCACAGGGTTGTTGTGAGGATAAAACAGAGAAGGGGGGAATGTTGTAAGCCACCTTAGGTCCTCATTGAGGAGAAAGGTGGGGTATAAATATTTGAACAAATAAATATGCAAGTCCCTTCCTGTTGGGGAGACTAGGAACATCAGGAGCCCATTTCACCTGCTCACCTGTTCACGCAAGACGTAGGCATACTCCGCCAGCAAGGTAGTGCTGATAATTCTCCACTTGTGCTTCGTCTTCTTGAAGTGAGGGTCGGGGAAGAGGAAGAACATCTTGCACAGCTGTGGAAACACGGACAGATCCCACCACCATCACTGCAGGAAAAAGGTTCAGTTGCAGTCTGAACACCACCCTGAGTCTTAGGGCGCAAACCTGAGCAGGTCTACTTAGAAGTAAGCCCCATTTTATTCAGTGGAACTTCTCCCCAGGAAACTGTTCTCAGGAGTGCAGCCTTTGTGACTTCACTGTCAAGCCAATCAAGCAGATCTTCATTTCCCCTCCAAAAGGGACAGTAATTACTATTGCCTTTATCTCCAGGAAGTTCCCTTCCAGGCTTTGAGAAGACCTGGTCACCTTCAGCAGAGCTGCTGCATACTGTTCCTTCCAGCCAGGACCTGGGAAAGGGACGGTAGCTCAGGGATAGCCTAAAACATTGGCTCCTCAACTCACATCTAAGTGGGACTGATGCAATCCTCATTTACCTTGGCCTCTTTGTTATCAGAGCTGTACATGAAAAATTACCAGAACTGTATATGAGAAACTGGATCACAGATTTTTAGAATTCTAAGTGTGACCTCTTTGACTTCTTTTTTGTTGCATCCTTCCTTTTTTTTCTTCGTACTTTTATTTCTACGAATTGGTTTATATTTTATGTTACAGACATATGATTTAAATGCCCCCCTTTTTTCTTCTACGATTGCCTGATATAAACAGTGTGTCATTTTCCCCTGCTGTAATTTACAGTAAGTCCACTTAAGATGCTGTATCATATCATACGTGAAGATGCTTTAAGACTCTTGTCTTTTATAGACAACCTACAAGAGTGGTGGCGAACCTATGGCACGGGTGCCAGAGGTGGCACTCAGAGCCCTCTCTGTGGGCACGCGTGCCATTGCCCCAGCCAGGCCCAGACCATCATTAAAGTGTTGAATTCTCTGCCAAATAATTTTAAGTAAGTGAAAGCATTTGGGATTGCTTTTCCTTACTTTGTTTGGATTATCTTAGGTTAATGTATGAGTTGTTTTTTCTAAAGTAAAACCTCAGCATTCAGGTTAAATTGCTGTGTTGGCACTCACAGTTTGGGCACTGGCCTACAACAACTGTACAAGGCCATTCTGCAATGGGACTATAACAGAAACAATTCTGAAGAAGATATCAAAACGATGTCTTAATTAGCCGGCAGATCTTTGATTGTTATACTTTGCTGTATCGTGCACTGAACTGTTATACCTTAATTGCCACACTTCACTATATCATGCACTGTATATCATCCAGTATATCTGAAGAAGTGTGCATGCACACAAAAAGCTTATACCTTGAGTAAAACTTTGTTGGTCTTAAAGGTGCCACTGGACGCAAACTTTGTTCTGTATATAGGGACGGTTTGCACTGTAATGTTTGCACTGTATATATTAACATTTGGTTCGTACAGTTAAGTAGATCTGCCTTTTTTTCCTTCTGTGTGGCCTCTGGGACCCAGTACCTTGTGTCCCCAGGGAGAGGCTAGGCAATCAGAGCAGATCATACCAGGCTGCAGGGACCCCATGGCCTCACTATTTATTTATTTAGGAGATTCTTTTTTTAAAAAACCCAATCTTTCTTTAACAAAAAACTCAAGGCAGGTTACAATGTGATATAAAAATATGAGAAAAAACACCAACAGGAAACGACATAAAACAGTCACAACTCAGCCTACAAGAGACCAGGAACTGTTCTTAGCCACCTGGGCTCACCTTCAAAGAACCATAGAGTTGGAAGGGACTTCCAGGATCATATAGTCCAACCCCCTGCACAATGCAGGAAATTCACAACTACCTCCCCCACCCCACCTCCAGTGCCCTCTGCTCCATGCCCAGAAGATGGCAATCCCTGGCCAATGGCCTGGAGAAAATTGCTTCCTGACCCCAAAGTGGCGATCAGCATTTCTCTGGGCATGTAAGAAAGGGCCACAAGAACTAAGAACTGAGGCAACCCTTCCTGCCCTCCTTCTCATGATCTGCCCAAGTTCACAGAATCAGCATTGCTATTAGATGGCCATCTAGCCTCTGTCTGAAAACCTCCAATGAAGGAGAGCCCACCAACGCCCAAGGGAGACTGTTTCACTGAGGAACCGCTTTAACTGTCAGGACGTTCTTCCTAATGTTTAGCCGAAACCTCTTGACTTAATTTCAACTCGTTGGTTCTGGTCTGACCTTCTGGGGCAACAGAACACAACTCCGTACCATCCTCTATAGGGCAGCCCTTCAAGTACTTGAAGATGGTAGTCATATCACCTCTGTCGTCTCCGCTCCAGGCTAATCATACCAAGCGCTCCTTCAACCTTTCTTCATAGGATTTTCCTCATAGACAGCCCATCAGCAAAAATGCAGGCCAAAACAGTTCAGCCTTACTTCATCTCAGAAACAAATCAACAAGGTGGGAACCTTCCTGACACCACCAGGTAGACTGCTTCACCAGGTGAGGGCCAGCACAGAAAAAGCTCTTTTTCTAGGTGACAAAGGGCTAATCTGACAGCAAGATGGGATTCTGAAACAACTGATTAGCTGAGATGAGCATATGGAGTCCAGTAGATAGGTGGGTTCCCAGCCACTGCCAGCTTTGACCGTACTTTCACACTCATGGAAGTCCCTTCTAAGGATTCATAAGCAATGTCAACGTTACAACAGAAACGTCTTTCTTGGGGAAACTCTAGAGAATCCTGAAGCCAAGAAGGATCACACAGGCATCTTTGAAAACACATAAATCCTTTCAATTCTGTGGGGAGGCCTTGACTAAAAGAATGCAGATATTCCAAATCTTTCAATAACTTTTTATGTATAATCAATTATACCTATAAGGCTGTGAATTTTAATCCTTGTATATTAATTTTATATTTGTACATAAACTGTGCTGGTCAATCGCTTGCCTGATCTTCGATCATAATCAATGCTGATGATAGATCCTTCCGAGGAGTAGGAAATGTGAAGAGATGACTATGCCTTTCTTGGATAAATCCCCTGGAAGCTCACCTGTCCCTTGCGGAAAAAGTTGGGCAGGTGTTTCATGGCATTGCTGCGGATGCAGGCGATGTTCTGGTACAGCCCAGGGTGGGACACTCGCAGGGACTGGATCCTGTCTCGCACATAATCCGAGACCTTCACACGGATCTCCAGGCCCAGCATTAAGGTGTTTGGGAACAGGGGAGACAACGCAACTATGGAAGAGAACAGGAATCAGCATCAGGAAAGTAGCAATCAGGCAAGGAGGGAAAAATCTATGGCAAATGAGTACATAGTGCAAAAAAAAAAAAACTGTTCCTTTCCCTTGCACTTTACATTGCAGCATTATGACGACCTCCACTAGACTTATTATTCTCTTCTCATACCATGACCGACTCTCCCCTCTCCTTAATGTTGCAGTATTAATATCCTGCCAACCTAGCAGTTCGAAAGCAAGAAATTGCAAGTAGATAAATAGGTACCACTTCGGTGGGAAGGTAACAGCGTTCCGTGCGCCTTGGTGTTTGGTCATGCCGGCCACATGACCACGGAAACGTCTTCGGACAGCGCTGGCTCTTCGGCTTTGCAACGGAGATGAGCACCGCAACCCTAGAGTCGGATTCGACTGGCTTTCGAGCAAGAGAACCTTTACCTTTTATATGTACATTAAAATACACTGAACTTCCAAGTAAATGCGACTACAACCAAGTTGTTAGTATCCACATTGGCTGCCCACATTATCCAGGCCTTAAGCTTTAGGACTGTCTGCTCTTCTGTTTCTGACCATACAGATGATCCTGTGAAAAGCAAGCCCCTTTACCTTGCAGATTTCAACAGCAATGGCCAGCACATGCTTAAGACTAGTGGTGTCGAACTCATTTGTTACAAGGGCCGGATCTGACAAAAATGTCATTTTGTCAGTCCGGGCCATGTGTGTCATAAAACGTAATGCCAGAGATATAAACTATATAAAGGACAGCAGCTGGTAAGCTCTGAGTTGGTGTCTGCTCACTGCAAGGCCTCATGGGCTGTGGTGGGGTACAAAGAAAAACCTGTATGGGTGGACTGGACAGCCAGTGGCGCAAAGTACATAATGCAAAAAAAAAATACTGTTCCTTTCCCTTGCACTTTACATTGCAGAAGCATTCTGACCACCCCTACTAGACTTATCATTCTCTTCTCATACCTTGACCGACTCTCCCCTCTCCTTAATGTTGCAGTACTGCACATACCTATATATGCATTAAAATACACTGAACTTCCAAGTAAATGCGACTACAACCAAGTTGTTAGTATCCACATTGGCTGCCCACATTATCCAGGCCTTAAGCTTTAGGACTGTCTGCTCCTCTGTTTCTGATCATACAGATGATCCTGTGAAAAGCAAGCCCCTTTACCTTGCAGATTTCAACAGCAATGGCCAGCACATGCTTAAGACTAGTGGTGTCGAACTCATTTGTTACAAGGGCCGGATCTGACAAAAATGTCATTTTGTCAGTCCGGGCCATGTGTGTCATAAAACGTAATGCCAGAGATATAAACTATATAAAGGACAGCAGCTGGTAAGCTCTGAGTTGGTGTCTGCTCACTGCAAGGCCTCATGGGCTGTGGTGGGGTACAAAGAAAAACCTGTATGGGTGGACTGGACAGCCAGTGGCGCAACACTGGGCAGACACTCCCACAATGCTTGACTGCTGCAGACGAGGTTGTTCCACCATGCTGAAGCCACAATCCCCCCTGAGCAGTCTCCTGTTCCCTCCCTTGCACTAGTTGCTCGTGGGCTGCATAAGAACCCTGAACGGGCCGGTTCCAGCCCCCCGGGCCTGATGTTTGACACCCCAGCTTAAGACTCTCTTGTTCAAATTATTGAGAGAAGAAGCACTTTCGGTTTTGTTGGGCTATACGCAGTATCATCTATTTCATCTCCCCAAATTCCCCTCCTTGCTGTCTTCTGTTCTGCAAGACAGAGCTAAACTCCACTTCCTGTTTCAGGGGACTGTAGGATGGGGCTGTAAGTCCCACTGATCTCACTGGGACTTTCTTCTGAGTAAGCATGACAGGGATCACAATGCAAGGACCCCGAGGCCTTTGTATCCTTGGATGCTCTGAGGAGGAACTGCTTGAAACCTCATAGACTTTTACCGTGGCTTGATATCTCTTCTCCGCCCACCTCTCCACCCTTGTGTCATGTCTGTGTTATAATTGTGGATTCACCTGACCAGCTTAAGGAGTGATGACTTGCCATGTGATAAGTTTTTCTCAGGCAAACCTCCCTCCCCCATAAAAGGATGTTTTGGTGTGTGTGACAGACAACACATCCCCACCCTTTGAATCTAGCAACCAGCTTTTCGCATGATAACACAGTCATGCCACGTAAAACACCACTGTGGGATCCCAACCATAGTTTTCTGTACACACCAGATCACAGAGCTCTCACTATAAAAACATGCAGTGATGGTCTTTTTCACAATAGCCATGACAGCCTATGAAATCTGTGTGAAAGCAGATTAGACAGATGATAGAGTGGAGTAGTAGTGTACAAGCCACCTATACCTATATGAACAGCTCGTACCCTACTACTCCACTGAACAAAGTTTGTAGTTTTTCCAGCCTAAAAAGCCCTCCTCCAAATGAAGTGGCTCTTCCTTCAATGGTAGAGTTTAAGGCAGGATACAGGCCATGAAGCAGACTTGTCTATATTTGTGTCACTTGTTCTGCCTTCTCTCCTTCTAGGGCTGGAAGCTAGGCAGAATAATGAAGCCTCCTACCCCTGGATTGCTAGAGCCCCAGCTCAGTCTCCTTCTGTCTTCTGTGATTTCATGAAGCACTGCCCGGACATTGTGAAGCTTATTTACCACCACCACCACCACGTCATGAGAACTTGCTTTTCCAAATCAAAGCCAACAAGCTGCTGAATTCTGTCTCCTGCATCAGATAATTCCTTTCCAGGCTTGTGCACAGTAATGAGATGCATGGAATTCCAACAACATTTGCCCTCTTTCTTTTCTCCAACTCACTGGGAACCCCATTTGTCCACTGCATCCCTTGCTAACATCCATTGCATCCTTTCTCAACAGATGCACAGGAATTCCTAACTACAGTTTTATGTGAGTGATCTTTGCTAGAAATCACTACTCCTCATATTCCTAGGGTCACTTGGTCAAGAACTTCAGTGAAGAAGGAGGTTCCATCAAAGTCACAACCAACTCATGGCAACCCCAGCTGTGGGGTGTTCAAGGCAAGAGATGAGCAGAGGTGGTTTTGCCATTGCTTTCCTCTGCATAGCAATCCCGGTCTTCCTTGGAAGTCTCCCATCCAAATACTGACCATGGCCAACCCTGACAAGCTTGGGCCAAACTGGGCTAACTGAGCTTCAACACTTAGGCTGCGATCACACACACTAAATAATCCACCACCAATGCACTTTCCAACCGGATTTCACTGTGTGAACTGGCAAAATCCAATTCAAAAGTGCACTGAATTATTTAGTGTGTGTGATTGCAGCCCTAGTCTAAAGCCCAGGTTCAACTGGCAGCAGAGACAAAGCCCCACAGAGTACCGTAACTTGTAAGGCTGCAGCCTGAACTGCTTGATGCTCTGCCTTCCTTTGTAAGAGCAAAGACCTTTATACAGTCTGTTCTTGCCATTAGTAGTGTTATATGTAACGTTATCGTTTGAGGGTCAAAACCAATGTGACCAGTCTCTGTCCATCCATAGAAACTAAACTGCATGCATGGATCGCTCACTGTGCAGTCCTAAGCAGAAATGACCCTTTGGATTGGCGCCAAATGGGGAGAGGAGTTTAACCCTTCAACCCCTGCTCAGCTTGCTAAAAACAGGGCTTCCCACACAATTATCAGCACTGACAAAGGTGTCTGGTTTCAATCACAGAAACTGAGCAGGATTTAAAAGGTTCACTCTCCTCTCCCCTTCCCGTATGCCCCAAATAGTAATCACGGCCATGGAGGAGGGGCCGTGGCTCAGCAGCAGAGTCTCTGCTTTGCATGGAAAAGATCCCACATTCCAGACCTGGCACCGACAGTTGAAGTATTTTGGTAGCTGGCAACATGAAACACCTCTGCCTGAGATCCTAGAGAGCTGCTGCCAGTCACAGAAGACAATACTGACCGTAATAGACCAATGTACTGATTATGTATAAAGATCTTCATGTTTGTTTTGCCCCTATTGAAATATGCTAAAAACTTTGAAATCCATTGGTCAAAGGACGGGGTGGGGGGAACCTGGTACTTCAACTCTCTGTCTGGTGTGCAGCATAAAACTGTGCATAACGCTTGTTGGAAAACTGAAAAAAGGAAGTATTCTAAAAGGACTTCCATGTTAGTATTTCACAAGCCTCTTTCTTTGGAAACCCCTTCCATAATCTTTGGAGCCAACCTCCACAGAGATCTAGCTGCATTCTCAGCATACTTAGTGAGACGGTTCAGATTGGTTTCCCTTTTGCCATCGCATTACAGCCGCTCTTGTGTTTACCTTACACAACTGCTATTTAACTGCTATTGTATTTGTTTATTTATTAAAACATTTATACCACACTTTTTCTTGTGGTTCAAGGTGGCTTACAATAACAGTAAAAACACAATTCCAATTAAAACCAGAATAAAATAACAGACCCCCAAATCTCTTCCTCCCTTAAAAGACGCCCCCTCAAATGGCCTGGCTAACGGGCAAGCTTTGCAGTGCCTTCTGAACATCTCCAAGGAGGGGGTGCCCCTCATATCTTCAGGGAGCCCATTCTACAAAGTGAGAGCCATGGTGGAAGAGGCCTGGGCTCTGGTCTATGCCAGATGGGCCACCCTAAGGAATGGGATAGCCAGCAGAGGGCATGCCTGAAGGCCGTAGTTGGTGGAGAGGGTCATATGGAAGGATACAGTCCTTCAAATAAGAGTGTCCCAGGTGATTAAGGGCTTTAAAGGTCATAACCAACACCTGGAAGTTGACTCCAAAATAGACAGGCAGCCAATGCAGCTTGTTTCAAAGTGGGCAACATACATACTGCTACCTTTCACGATTTTATTTACGACAAGAACATCATGTTGAATGTTCCTAGCTTTTCCTGCTGTTTTTATATTGATTTTTAATGGGTATAACTTTTAATATGGTGTTAGCTATCTTGAGAACCAGTTTTCTGGTTGAGGGGCAAAGCATAAACGCTTGACATAAAAAACCCAAAATCATCGGGGTGTGGGGATGTGTGAAATTACCCAGCAGTCCCCCATAACCACAGCCAATATCAGCAAATTCTACTTGAGAGGAAGGCTTGGCTCTCTCTTCCACATCCTTTGGGTCATTGTGCTGATCATCTTTGGTCAAAGGAGTGAAGAATTCTGGGTAGAGTTCAGACCAGTCCATTTCCTCAGGCTTGGCGGGACTAACAGGAAAGAAAGGAAAGAGCCTCATATAACACCAACACACTTCCCAGTTCCCCAGCAGCACCACTTCCAAGTGGCTTCCAACTCACAGACCACCACAAATCTGCCTTAAGGACCCACTTTGCTATTTCTGCTGCAACAGACCAATACAGAGACCACTCAGGAATTTGGTGAATGGAAGCTATGAGTTACCTGGCGTAATTATTTCTGCAGGACATGCTTATGACACCTTTATTATGGATCATTTCAAAACTGAACAGGGACAAGGAGTGAGGGTCTGCTACTCATCCTATGACTTCAAGAGACAGAAATATCCCAGCGAGTCATGTCTCGAGAGACATTCCAATTGCTTGTGTCTCACGCAAACAATGAAATAATAATGCGTGAATCTGGCCTTGATAGAAGACCCACAGAAAAGAATGTAGTGGGACTAATGTTCTAATCCTAACCACATGTTTGCAATTAAATTCCGCTGAAGTCAAGGGAAATTACAGTTAACAGTAATAGCACACTCACAGTGTAATACTTAGCAGAGTTAAGTCTACTTACAGTAAATGGATTTGGAAGGGTCAGCTCTGTTTAGGACTGCACTGTAAGGGCACTTATGGATCAAGCTACATTTGGCACTGTAATTCTGTATCTGGGATTCCCCAGTTC